TCAATTTAATTTTTATTGTTTTTATCATCCTGCAGGCTCTGTGACAAAATTTAATTTGAAGCTGAGTTTTTTTTTATAAAAATTGTTAGATTACTCTAAAGCAAAATGAGGGAAAATCTGTGTCAATTACAGACATTATGTTCACGTGAGCAGCTGTCAGTCAGCACCTGTCAACCTCCAGATGCACGACGCAGCGTGTCTGAACCAATCACTTTTGTTGACATTGATCATCTGACTGATTTCAATACATCTTAACATTCATGAGCTACTTTGCATTGACTGTTTATGGTTGAGTGTGTGTGTGTAGAGGGTAGAACCTGAGGCGGGACCTCGTGTGCAAACTCTGACGTGCGGCTGTGATTTATAAAGGAAAGATGCGCAGAAACATGCGTACGCACGGTTTTATAAATCTGAATTATTTTTTTGGCGTACGCCATTTCCGCCTTTTGGCCGTACATTCACTTTTAGTATGGTTTCCACACAATCCTTTATAAATGAGACCCCAGGTCACTATCTGCACTTTAATCTAACCTTCTGTCACAACATAGAGATTTTATTTAATGATGGAATTTAAAAAAATTATGAACCTTTTTTTAAAGGTAATTCTTGCTTTTCGTGTTTATGCATGTTTGCTCACAGTAATGAAAACATTTAGCACAAACTCAGCCTAACTAGTTTTTATTCCTAGCTACTATTACTAACTATTTATCGATCACTGGCTTTACTCAGGCAGTGGTGATAATTGTTTACATTTAGATAAAAAATTATTTGATTTGAGAGACGTGAGCAGAAGTTTAGCGTTATAGTTTGGAACAATGAAAATACAGATTTGATTAAAGATGTAGCTTCTCTACAGAAAAGCAGCTTTAACTCTGTCTAATCTTTCTCAATACTTCCATGCAGGTAGTTTCTTTACATATTGCTCCCAATGAGTCAAAGTTTTGCTGAACACTGCTAACAAAGTATAACTGAGCTCTACGTGGTATTTCCTGCATAGAAACAGTGTTTTTTAATTGAAAGCTGTGTCACATGTAACAAAACAATACAAATTGACAAGAGAGAGAGAGCCAACTTCCAATCAGAAACTGACTAAATGTGAAATAAATAAAACAGAAATACTATTAAAAGTAAAAGTAAGAGTTTTACTCACTGTTGAGTTCTGGTAAGTAGCTGCCATCTTGAATTCTGAACTCTCCCACTTTCTGACACAAAATTCCGATTGGAAGGGCATTCCAGTAATTCACTAGTTGTATGTGGGAAATTCCCAGTTCCGCAGTACAACTGGGATGCAGCAAAAGTAGCCGGCGAAAATGCAGCGAGATGGAGACGAACCCTGTGCACCTTCACCTAGTGGTGGGATGCTGTTGTTTTGTGGGTAAAATAATCAACTTGCATTATGGGAGATGCAGTTTATGGTCAGTGCTGGATTTAAAGCAGCTTATTTCAATAAAACATCTGTGAAGATCTCATGGGCCTCGAGTTTGGCACGTGGTCTAGGATTTTGTTCAGTTACTCTTTGTTTAAGCCACTTAATGCTGAACGGTGAATCATTCAGATGAATCTGTGTTGGATGGATGCATAAATCACAACTTAGTTAATTTAAATCGGATATTTAGGCACTTTGTTTGCAGCAGCTTGAAACAGAGACATAATTTATTCCAACTTTTTCAATTGATGATATGAAAAATGTCAATAACACCATTTGTTAAACCTAAAATAGTATTTTGGCACCAACTAGGTGATTTCCTAAAAACAGATCAGCTGAAAGATGCCTTTCTCAGGTCATGATGTGACTTATTTTCAGATATACGTATGCTGTAGTTAGTTGTTTTAGGTATTTTTTGTCCATGTGTCCACTTTCATAATTTTTATAAAGTGCTTGTGATGCTCTTCATACAAGTACACAAATTGGAAGAAAATCTCTTAATATTTAAGAAAATTTTGCATAATACAGGAATTTAGCCATTTTGTCACATAACCCGTTAGGCCGAAGTGAAACAGGAAGTGACAAAGGGGAACTCTCGTAGTGATAGCAGAGAACTCTCTCTTCAATAATATAAATTAATAATTTTCTTCAGTAGTCCACCAAACCTTTTGTGACATTTTTATTTTTGTAACAGCTGTTTGTTTTTTTTAACAAGAAATCTCATCAACGATTGTTAAAGCATCTCTTTAAAAATGTCTTCATTTATCAAAATATACGCTGTTCAGTCCTCAAACGTAGTTTCTTGTTTCTAATAGTTGAAAATATTCTTTACACAAAAATATAAAAGCACAAACTTTATGGTGTCTTTTTCACAAGTATTCATTTTATCACCTGACAAAGTGCTATAGCGTCTGCTACTAAATATCTGTAGCCTTAATAGGATCTTTTATATGAAAAGTCTTTTATTTCACATTGTTACCCAACAGACAGAGTGTCCCTGACCACCTAATAAACCACGCTGCCTCCTGCACTTCGCTGGCTTTACCTCCCATCCTCTGCTCTAATGTTAATAATACCACTTCATTGTCCCTATGGAAACCTGTTACAGGATGTTTTTCTGCACTTTTACATTCTTTATCCTCTAACAAAGGCTTTGGCTGCATCCCAGCTGGTACCAATTTAATGCAAAGCCAGAGAGAAATCAAGCTTCTGTTTGTACCGTTGCAGTTGTCTTTTTTTTTTTTTTTTTTTTTTTTTGCTACATGACGTTTTGGTGGAAAAGGTTAATGTCCGGACTCAGTCTGATGTGGTCGTCTGCGATGCGGAGCACACTTTGACACGCCTCCTTTCCCCTCAGCAAGGACGGTGCTGACATTCACGTCATTAGTGGGAGCGCATGTTTCCTCCTCCTGCTCTGGCTCTGTGCCCTGGAAGCAAAGAGACAAACAGAAAATAACGTCACTGAAACAAAACAAAACAAAACGTGTCAGGCCTCGACCTTGCTGCTGAATAACCTTCCTTTACTGATCTGTCTCTTAAAACAGGTTTAATTGTCCTCCTGTTTTTTATTTATTTATTTCTTCCCTCTCTGTGTCTCCAGTCCCAGACAGCAGCAGGAGGACAGAGTGACGTACCTTTGAAACCCGAGGAATTTATCGTAGGAGAATCAACAGGTGAGGAATTGATTGTGTCTCCAAGTGTTCAATCAACTCCCCCTGCTTGTCGCATCCATCTCCTCCTCCGCCTCCCTCCCTCCCTCCCTCCAGCTCTCATTATCACGTTGCACGTTCCCCGCAGACTTCCCTCAGAAACATATGCTTCGGTTGCGAGTGGGTTTTTGCACTCGTCCCCGCAGCGTTATTTGTTGTTGTTCAGCTTTCTGCGCAAATCCCCCACCGTGGCTCCAGTTCCAGACTGTGATTAGCAGGATTTGACAACTCATCCCGACCAGCAATTTACTTCAGCTGTCATTTTCAGCAGATTAGATGTTAAAGTACACAGGCTTACAGGCTCCGGAGTCAGCCGTGATGACAGACTCAAGTGTAATCCCATCACGGGGAAACACTTGCAGCCATTATTTCCAGGGATAGATTGCTTATCAGAGTACAGTACAATATGTAAAACATACTTTCTATTTTTTTAATAGTCTCGCTTCAGAACTGGAGGGTCGTGCTTGAGACGCTCCACAGGAGGGAGCTGTTCACGTCTCAGGTCGCTCTAATTATTTCAGACCCACCTTTTAATTTGAAAAAGAAAGAAAAGATGCAAAGATTTTTTTGGTAAATTTGATCAAATCACTTTATATTTGACAAATAAATAGTAGGCACTAATTAGTAATGGTAAATTAATTAATAATGAGTAATTACACGGCTATCTGGTGTATATTAGACAGATTTTTTAAATTGATGTTTAAGGAAAATCACCTCTAATTCTGTCATCATGTAGGTGGTCTTTTCAAAATAAAACAAATAATTGTTGAAGGACAAAGCAGGTATTTAAAAACTGCACAGTTTTATCAGGTTGGGCCAAGTGGTGGCCCGTGGGCCCACTTCTGGCCTGAGGGGGTTGGACGGGGTCAATTAACTGAAACAATGTTCATTGAACACAACCTAATAACTTCTCAATTGGATTATTTTGTTTATTTAATTAATTTTAACACTTGATTTACATTTTTTTAATACCGTCACAAGAACCAGATGTTTGTGTATCTGATGTATTTCTTGGCTAGTTAGTCATTTTCTTTTGGTTCTGATTTCTAGTGACCCACAACGAAGGAAAGTTCAACGCTCAGCTCTCCAAACTGACCGCCATCGGACGAACGCAGCACGATGAGCTGTGATTGGCTAGAAGCTTCGACCAATCGCAGCGCTTCAGTAACTGTTTAATCGCTGAAGGATGCGTTTCTTCCTGATGAACGACCGAAACTGAAGAGGGATGGTGTTTTTTTTTTCTTTTGTGCAAAAACGGATTTTCTGGTACTTTCTAATCACAATAGTTGTTTTTCTGCTTGGAATAAATGTGGAGGGGAAAAAATACAAAAACACTGAAGCAGATTTCAGTCTTAGATAATAATAAAAAAAAAAACAAATCTGCCATGTGATAAAGTGCTTCGATAGTTCTTTCTTTATTTTCTGAGGCTTTAGGACAATAATTCTCTGATCCATTGGGTATCATACATGGATGTATGGAGGATTGGCGTTCAGCATATATGGCACATTTAGACTAGCGGAGGATTTGTGCGTCTTGTAATCCTGAGAGGAAAGTGAGTAATCCCCTATATCACTGCGGCGCGTACATAAACAAGTTCCCAGGTCTGGTTCTGATCTGCGCTGAAGCACCTCAGCGCTGGTCCACATCAGATCCACCAACCTCTTCTGATAACTTTTTGTTTTGTTGTTGCCAGAAGCTGTGATGGTAAAACACAACAGATAGGAGCTGATCTTTGAATTTTAAATGAACAGGGAAATTCTGACAAAATATCTTTATAATAAATCATACTAGTGTCAGCTAACATTCGTGGATTTACCCCAAGTTGACTGAAATTTGTGTTTGGTTGATTATTTCGGTGTTGTAACGATGCTTTCTAAAATTTCCCCTTACAGAAAAATGCACTTGTGGCTTTTGTCAAATCTCCTCTGCCGATGCTAAACAGCTTGTTTTGTTAACAGCTCTTCTCCTTTATTTGATTGGACAATTGAAATTTGAAGAAACAACTGAAGAAATGTATTCACGTAACAAACAGGGCCGGTATCCCAGTAGCATGTGGAAGAACCATACGCAGCTACTACAGCTTTGAACCTCCACATGCTGTTCATCGGCTCGTATATTGGTGAAGATTCTTAGTCATTAAAATGGCCGGAGTGTGCAGTTCCAAGCTTTATAGACATGCTTGTGAGAACTCATTGGTGCTCATGTCACACTGCAAGATAATTGGGCCGATTTGTCCATTCGACAATCTTATGGACACTTTGGTTATCGTTATGACTATAAAGATAATCTTATGAGATATTCCTGCCATGTGTGGTGTGTAAAGAGTGATCATGTTGGCTTGGAAAGACGTCGGCACCACTCTGACCTCAAATTGGGGATGTTTAACATGTTGGATTGTATTCGCCCAATATCCTGATG